CCCCGCATCAGGCTCCCTGCTTGGCGGGAAGCCTGCTTCTCCCTCCCACTCCCCCTGCTTGTGTTCCTGCTCTCGCTGTCTCTCTCTCTCTGTCAAAGAAATAAATAAAATCTTTAAAAAAATAAAAATAAAAAAAAATAAAATAAAATGGGAAAAATGTATAAATGTGCAGAATGTAAAAAATCATTATGGCATCAAATAGAGAATTTTAAAGACTGAAATGGTGAGAAAATGAATATTGCTTATAGAGTGTTGCTTTAGACTTACCTGTGCACTAGGTATTGTGCTAGGTGTTTGGGATCTCTCACTGAACAAAACAAAAAGATCCTTAGCCTCATGAGGTTTATATTCTAGCAGAGATATACACAGAGATAGCAAATAATAATCATAATAAATAAATTAATCATAATAAATAAATTATGTAATATGTTAGAAGGTATTAGGTGCTATGGAAAAAGAAAAAAAGCAGTGTGAGCGGGGTTGGGAATGCTGTGGGTGGGGAGAGGGAAGAAGGGAGTTTTAACCAGGTGGTCAGGGTATGCCTCAGTAAAAGGTGAATAGCGGGGTGCCTGGCTGGCTCAGTCAGAGGAGTGGGCAACTCTTGATCTTCGGATTATGGGGTTCAAGCCCCACGTTGGGTGTAGAGATTACTTAAAAGTAAAATCTTAAAAAAAAAAAAAAAAAGGTGAATAGCAAACAGGGCAGTGTGGCAGGAGCAAGGGAGGCAAAGACAGAAGACGAGATCAGACAGGGAAGAGGAGCCAGATGATAGAGTACCTTATAGACATGAGTTTCTACTCTCGGAGAAATGGAGAGCCCATGAAGGATTTTGAGCAGAGCGATTTATGTGTTGAAAGAACACTGGTGGCCTCTATATAGAGAACAGACTGCAGCGGGCAGGGAAGTTAGCAGGGAGACCAGTTCCGAGGCAAGTGCACGGATCCGGGCTAGGGATGATGGTGGCCTGGTCTATGGGGTGGTAGTGAGGATGATGAAAGGTGGTCAGATCCTGGATATATTTTGAAAGGAGAACCACCAGAATTTCCAGACTGGATCGGGAGTGTGGTATGAAAGAAAGAAGAGCCAACGATGAATCCAAAGTTTTGGGCCTGATTACTTAGAAGGATGAAACTGCCATCTCCTGAGATAGGGATGGCTGGGGGCAGAGCAGGCTTGTGAAGGGGTAAGACCAGGACTTCAGGGTTGGACATGTTAAATCTGAAACACCTAACAGTCATGCAAGTGGAAATAAGTAGGCAGTTGGTTCTAAAAGTCTGGTAGAGAATTCAGGAAAGAGGTCTGGGTGAGAAATACAAATTTAGAGTCACTGGCATATATCCAATGTTTGAACTGAGGAGACTGGATGAAATCACCAGTGGAATAAGTAGATACAAAGATTAGGGAGAAGCTCTAGGACACACTGATATTAAGGGTCAGGTGAAAAAGGAACCAGCAAAGATACTACGGGGTGATGGAGAGGTAGGAGGAAAACTGAGAGAGTACTATGCTTCTAGAAACTAATGAAGAAAAACTGGATAAGGAGAAGCCATAAAGATGTAGCCTAGAAACAAAGCAAAACGACTCTCAGGCAAAAGGGGCAAATAATAAAAACTGAAGCAGATGCTACTAACATGGTTATTTAGAAAGTTAGGCTTCACCTAAATTGATCTATAAGATTTGTACCCTCACAGTGGAGATTATAAGTGGGTAGGCCTAAAAGAGAGATCATTTGACAGCTTTCAGGAAGCAATATGATTCCTCATCTTTAAAAGTCAACTACTAGGGGCACCTGGGGTGGCTCAGTTGGTTAAGCATCTGCCTTTGGCTCGGGTCATGTTCCCGGGGTCCTGAGATCGAGTCCTGCATTGGGCTCCCTGCTTGGCGGGGAGCCTGCTTCTCCCTCTCCCACTTCCCCTGCTTGTGTTCCCTCTCTCACTGTCTCTCTGTCAAAAAAATAAATAAAATCTTAAAAAAAAAAAAGTCAACTACTAAAAGACAAAACCTCCAATCCTGCTTTAAAAGCAAGACTGACACATATTCTCTCTCAAATCATCATGTATAGTCTAACAGGTAAAAATCTTAGAATTTTTAACTTAATCACTTAGTTCCCTAGTTGATTAAGAATCTGAATTTAACACCAAATTTCATGCTCAAGGCCCAACTCCAATCCTGTGAAGCTTTTACTAACCACTTTTCCAAATGGGTATCATCTTTCTCCTTTGGCTCTTTTATAGCCCTCACTTAAAAACCACTCAATTGGCAATCACATGGTCTTTAAAATAAAATACCTCTCATTTTTATACCAGAACTGGATAGATGCTTTACAGACATTTTCTCTAATCCTTACACCAACTCTACAAAAATTGGGTTTACCCCTATTTTATAGATGAAGAAACTGATTCTCACAGATGTTACTCAAGGTCCTGCAACTAGTCAGGGACAAAACCCAGATCCGTCTTAACTGCAGAGCCCTTACCTTTACCCAAGATACAACACTGCCTCTGGAATAAAAGTGCCACACCAGTTATTACCAACCACTATTTCTGTGACCCCAGGCAAGTTTTTAAATCTCTCAGTTCCTCAGTCTTCTCATCAGTGAAATGAAAATGTTACATCACAAGTACTCCACTGCTGTGAAGATTAAATAAGATAATGTATGTAAAAATTACCAACTATAACAGCTTTTATTACTACATTTACTAGATTTTATGCTCTTTCGACAGGTTCTTATACTCCCATCTGTATTCCCTTCAATACCCAATAAAGGGTTTAATATGAATTGAACATCTACTTGTGTTTGGAAGATGACAGGAGACACCTTTTCCTCCTCTAAGAGGAAGCCTGGATCCATGAAGCCTGGATTAAGTTAAGGATCCACAATCCAAACCATAATTTACAACAGTGACAAACTCTGTGCACCCATCAAACACAGGATTTAAACAGCCCATGCGGCATTTAGCTGTCTGGTGTTTCCTCTCCAACATGGCTTCCAGTGCTCTACCAGTTTGACAAAGAGAAAAGCACAAATGAAAAATATCAACACCTTTGTTAAGAAAACATGCCTGGAAGGAGAGAAAGCAGAAAAAAGACCTGGTTTGTTATCAGAGTTAACAGAGACCTTATTGTTCTGTGTACTAGCTGATTTACAGCCTCCTGATGACAATAATATAATACTGTCTGACTCATCCTTCATTATGAAATTTGATTTACTTTAAGAAGACGACGACGACCAATTAACATATTTGTTAAATTTCCTTAGGCAGAGTCATTTCACTTAACATCTTTGAATGGGAACCAGAAGTCGCTTAACATCTTGGCTAATGATGGATCTGTCTTCCAGCCTGAGCAATGTGGGCTAATACTGTTTATTTTGCCTACTTCACAGGTTTTTTGTGAAGGTCAGATGAAATAATAGATGTGAAATTATTTTACAAGTTATAAATATGTTACCAGAAATAACTACACAGTCACCCACCCCTTATCCTTAGGCAAATGTCTGGTATTAACAAAACTGAGATACTGATTTCTCTGCATGTGCTCACTTTGTAGCACCAAAGAAAAATTTTTTAAAAATCTTCTTATCTTTGAGAAGGACACCACAAGTGTTTTAACCATAAAAGCTACAGAAAAGATAGTTGATAAAGTAGACCCTTCCAACAACGGATCTATATTCTAACAAAAAAAATAGCTTCAGATGGTTTAGATATGCCTTCCTAAAAGTGTGAAAATGGACTATCAGGTCAAGATGTAGCCACACACTACATAGGTGACAGGGGTCACACACTAGGGCATTTTACCTAGTACCTCAGTCTCTGCAGAATGCCAAGTGACTCAAGAGTACTAAAAACTATTCCTTCTCCCTGCCTCCCATTGGTCATCCCAGTTGCTTCTTCAACACTTGTGCTAAAATGAGAATAAGAGGAACTGAGAAATCAAAATTATTCTTAGATCCAGGACTGCTTACCATTCCTCTTCCTGTTTCCTTGACTTAATTCCTTTCTGAATTCAGCATAAGAACCCACAAAGAGTTGATGACATAGTTTACTAGCTGACTCCTTGAACCCAGAATTCCTTGAGCTGTTACCAACTTCCACCAAAACTTTAAAATTGCATGAATGTCCAAAAGTAGACTAAAAGCTAGAAAAGATCCAAGTTCATACACATATTGTACAGATAAAAGTGTATCCTAGCATCATTTTTATCATTTATCAACCATGTTGAACTGTAAATACATTTTAGCCACAACAGTAAGAAAAACGGAAGAAACATAAATAAGCACTTTGAGCAAATTTCGCCAGGGGCAAATACTTCAGATACTGCTAATTCTTGTATCAGTATCAAGAGGCTTAAATTTGCCTTTGAGATAGAAGTAAACAATATAAATTGCTTGAGCACTTGAATTCTTAATTTCCTGTGAAATCTTGTTCTCCCCACATTTCGAACTTGCTACCATTTCTCTCATTTCAGTAATTCCTCTGAAAAGAATTCCCATTCTCCCAGAAGTATCCCACAAGTAGATGTAATGCTTCTTTGTGCCAAGGCCATTGGCTTTTACAGTTTACCTCATTTCTGTACCCTTTTGTCAAGAAGTAATTGATGTTGGCAAAATCACTGCACCATCTTTGTCCCTGATTATGATTTGTAAGCTACTTAGAGAAAATGTGACCTATTAAGTTTTTGTATTGATGACATCCATTCTAGTATTTTCGCCATCCTTTTTTTTTTTTTTTTTTTAATTTTTAAAAGTTGTTTCTGTTTATTTAGGTTTGGCAATTTTTAAAATACCAATGCACACCACGAAACATACCCTCTATTTAATGATCTGCTGGATGTGTTGACCTTGTCTTAAGGGACCCTGAATTTCGAGAGTCCCTGAATTACCACCAGGATAATGCTTAAGGCAAGGCCAGCTTCAGTGTGATCTATCTTGCTCTTCTAAGAACTTTTCCTGTATGAAATAGTAATACCCATTACCAGCAAAGCAAAAGAAGCGTACTCACCAAGTGAACATAAGGCACAAAGTATCCAAAAAGTGCAAGTGGTATTCCAACTGCCCAAACCGCGTAAGCAGTCCCCTTGAAGATGGCAAAATTGAAAACTTTTTGTGGAGGACCAAACTTCCTCCTGGAAAACAGGGAGAATCTGTGGCCTCCTTTGGTTCCACTCTCTTTGTCTCTGGCATTTGGAACAAGAGGTCGGTAAGTGAAGCTAGCCAGAAAGAGAATAAACGTGAAGATGCAGAGGCCCCTCAGTGTGTGGAAGAGGCCCACGCTGTCAGTCAGGACCCGTAACAGGAAAGGCAGCAAAATTGTGAAGATGCTGCTGCCGGCGGTGACGATCCCATTCACCAGTCCGAGGCGCTTCTTGAAATAGTGGCCCAAGATGACCAGCGAAGGCTGGTAGGCAAAGGAGCAGCCACAGGCAAACAGGACTCCATAGGTGAGGTACAGAGGCTCAATGGAGCTGTATAAAGATGAAAAAGATGGAGGAGCGGTCGTTATTCGTAGCGAGTGCTTGGCAGAATAAAACCTCACAGCAATGTGGGTATTCAGTTCATCAGCCTATTGTATACAAGGAAAGACTTACCAAAAAGAGGTGATAAACTTAATACATCAAGAATAGGACACTAAAAAGATGTTAATTCAACCTGAATGGATAATAAAATGCCTCAAGTGTGTGAAAAATGACCAGGAAGGCCATCTGAGATGTTGTCCCTCCTTCCTCTCTCCATGGAGTTCCGGTGAGCCGAGCAGCCCTCGGTGGCAACTGCTGTGCTCTGCACAGCTCAGAAAGGACAGGGCCGGGAGGGGCTTCAGCAAGCCCGACAGTGATGAAACTAACAAAAAACCTCGTCTCAATAAAAGCTTTGAAAAATTATACTTTTACAATGAAAACTCATTATTTTATTTTTACTGAGATTTCCCAGGCACTTACCAAGCAATCTATTCAAAGGAAAAGCTGCATTTGAAACTTTCTCCCCAAGGTTATGTCAGAAACATTTGCACAGAGAAGCAGTTGTACCTCATTTTTGTTGGCCTAAGGGCTGTAGACCAACCTTCACCCCTGTATTGCGCGGTTCTCAGTGTTGTGCAAGATAACAAGAAATGATACTCTGACTGCAGAAAGACTTCGTGAAGTATGTTATTAGTGATCCCACCTTGTAAGTTTTAAGGCCATGTAGACCTCAAAATAATAACAAAAGATTAAGAATTTTATAGTTTAACCAAAAATAATTACACATCTCTTATGAAGGTCAAGGATCATATTATTACATTCTTTGAAACAATTAAGGTAAGGACTAAAAGAAAACTGAAGTTATTTCTTTTGAGAAGTCCATTCAAAAAGCTATATATCAGTAGTAAAGGCAAATTATTTATTAGAAACTAACACAGATAAAGTTGGTTAATAATTAAATTTTGAACAATAATACTAGTCTAGCAATATGCTAAGGTAATCATAAGGAACTCTAGCATCTGATAAAATCAAGGCATGTTGGCAATCCTCTAAGATGCCCTTTCCCCTCTAGTCACCCACAGCTAGCACAATCTCCAAAAGGGTCTCAAGAGTCACTTCTGGGCTCTCCTGAATTAATTTTACCTCATTCTGATCACCCTTTACTGAATCTCTACTCTATTCCATATCATATATTTAGCAGCTATACATTCCAGGTACTTGGTGAAAAAAAAATATTAAAAATGTGAAAATGCCCTTCTCATAATCTGCTTAGTGAAACAAGACATCTACCCCAAATAATAATATAGAAAATATAAATAATACTTTATTCATTCTGCCTCAGTTTTTCCACGTAACTGCAACTTACTTCTTAAGGTGCTATTTTTATTTAGATCTATTATACATTTCTCTGCCTTTTTCAAAGCATATGTTAAAAATAGTACTCACAACACAGTATCATCATGAACATCTATATCTGAACAATTATTCTGCAGTATTGTAAAGCTGTCAGTTGGAAAACCAGACAGCCATGGATATAATTCGGAAACACTTTCTTGCACACTATTTTAAATACTAAATGCTGGGTGATATTAGCTTCATATCTCTCCTACAGAGTAAAGCACATAAGCACAAACGATGGCATTTTCACTGCTGCTGAGCCTCTTTTACTTCTAAATTTTCACCTCAGTAACAGCTCGTTCCAACTGCTGAAGTTTGACAACTGAAGAAGTGCAATTTAAGTCAGTAAATAACAATTATGTTAGTGTAAAAAGGATTCCGAGCAGGAATACTGATGTGACCTGGAGTTGCTAGAGAAGGCTCTCCCAAGAAGGCAGAACTTGAACTATAGGAAAGTGGGTTCGACACCTGGAATTTATATCACATTTCCCCTTGCGCCTCTGAAAGCTTGGTAGCTTCTGATCAGTGGGTGAAAAACGAAATTGAATGAAAAACATGAGAGAGCTACAAGCAAAAACATTCAAATCATGAAGCTCTGACTTGCTGCTCTGGATAACACTGTTTAAGTCATACTGCTTAAAGCTTATGCAGTGAAAAGGAGGGTTTTTCCTTGTAAACAGCAAAGTTTCTGAAGGAACGACTCTATGGTATCTAACAGTTCTTGAAAAGCAGCATGAAGAACCAAGTCCTTACCTTACAAAAGAACTGGACATGAGTCCAATGAATCCAACAGCAGCACCCACAACAGCTGTCTTCCGACAACCAAACATGTCTGTGAAGACACTGGCTATTGGGCAGCAAAAGAAAATCATCCCCATGGACAGAGAACTTACCCATGCTGTAAAAGAGGGACAAAAGGGACATTATGATATGGCAAAGTGCACTTGTCCTTATCCCATAGGATATAATACATATTTAGAACAATATTAGTGCAAAAAAAGCTATTACTTTTTGGAATGGGAGGGAGTTGGAATAAATTAGAAGCAAATCTGAATCACAGCTCAAAGGACTTGCCAGTACTAATTATAACTAGCACAGCAATTATTTGTGTTTAACTGAATTCTTGAGAAGTTTGTATTCTTAATCAAATCATTCTCCTATACCCAAACACTATTAATCTCTAACCTGTTATCTATGGTTTTAAGAAATTTCTATCTAGTCTATGGGAAGAAAGTAATTTTTTATTTTTTTTTTTAAAGATTTTATTTATTTGACAGAGAGAGACACAGCAAGAGAGGGAACACAAGCAGGGGGAGTGGGAGAGGGAGAAGCAGGCTTCCCGCTGAGCAGGGAGCCCGATGCAGGGCTCGATCCCAGGACCCTGGGATCATGACCTGAGCCGAAGGCAGACGCTTAACGACTGAGCCACCCGGGCACCCCTAGAAAGTCATTTTTTAAAAAATGAGTTATATTGGGGCGCCCGGGTGGCTCAGTCGTTAGCTTCTGCCTTCGGCTCGGGTCATGATCCCAGAGACCTGGGATCGAGCCCCGCATCGGGCTCCCTGCTCAGCGGGAAGCCTGCTTCTCCCTCTCCCACTCCCCCTGCTTGTGTTCCCTCTCTCGTTGAGTCTCTGTCATATGAATAAATAAAATCTTTTTTAAAAAATGAGTTATATTTAGGAATGCATGCCTAGGTGGTCGAACTGAAGAAATGATGACCACTGGAAGTCAGGATAGTAGTTAACACTTAGGGGTAGGAAATAGAATTATAATCATTTGGAATCAGTAGTTAAGAACTGAACATCTGCCTAGAGTCTGGGCTTAGTTCTTGTGCTAAGGGAATCAAGACATAACAGGTAGACTATTTGTTGACCTGGATAATAGTTTCTGGGTATCACTTTATTTATGAAACCACATACACACTTTTTTCTTTTTTTCTGTAAGTATGTTATCTTTCACACACACAAAAAAAACCCTTAAGAATCAGAAGTCATAATTTCCTATCTGACTCTGTAAAAACTACAACAAAAGGGAACCAAAAAAAGAGAAATAAATACTGAATACAAATTAGGGTAATTTTCTACCAAAGAAATGAGTGATCTCAAAAGATATTAAGTCTATAAATTCTTCTTAGAAAGTATAAAAAACGAATGGGACCTAAGTAAATGTGGGCTAAACAACAAACAGATTTAGGTCCAAATCCCTTGGCCATACAACTACAGTATCTCCTTAGGCAAGTCACTCCCCCTGAGTCTGCTGATCTTGAAAGAGGATCTAACACCTTCCTTTCTTCCCCAACCCCAGCTTTGTCCCTTTTCATGACCTCTTCCCCTCTTCCCTTGCTGCCATACTCTCTACAGTAGGGATGGGGAAGAGAGAAGCTGGGACAAGGAAGGCAGACGCCATCATAAGTGGTCCTGCCAAAAGACCTGTCGGATCATGTTTGAAGCTGACTCTCTTCTCAGATGCACTTTTGTGGGTTCTTCAGAGTCTCACCTCAGAGACCTTCTGGCTCCACTGACAAGAATAATTCATTTTCCTCCTGGCTTTCTTGCTGTTACTTAAAAACCCAACTGTTGTAGCTTCATTGTCCTTGTAGGCAGTGTATCTGGGCAGGAATCAAAACTGCTCCAGACTGCCCCTCTCCTGCACTAAGCTTGCCTCTGATGTACAGGAAACATTCATATTGCTTTGCCCTGACAAATGTGGGAGTGTAGACAAATTCCAACACAATCACCTCCTGGATAGCTTTGCCGATGGGAGCAGTTAGCCAGCTATAGTTCTCTCCTTGTTGGATTTTTTAGGAGATTCAGACCCCAGTCCTCTGGGCCCCCTAACTGAAGAGAACTCTTTAAATCTCTAAATGGTCCCTCTCAAGTTCCCCTCACTAGATATCAAGTGAGAGAGCATGCACCTCTACTTCTCCTACGTGATAAAAGAAGCCATAGCATAATTTTGTGGAAGAATCCTCACAAAATGTTCTTCCTTGACCCATAAGTGTCCTTCTTATGTGTTTTAGAGCCTCTAATTGGTTCTTGAAATATGTCACTTTTGAATTTCACACTATTGTACCTTAGTGTCTTGGCTAAAATCCCAACAGCACATTCTGTTATGATAATAATCAACAACAGATGAAGTTAGGTCCATCTTCTGATCAAATTCAAGAAGAAACTAATTCTTAAATGAATAATTACTTGCCATTGTTAACTCATAAAATTTCTAGCTTTTACAAAGTTTTAACATGGCAGCCCAGAGAATGCAAGGTCTTATGGGTTATGATACACATCATAAAAATAAAAGACTGCTATTGTCTTTCACCCCTGTGAAGTCTGTGATTATTAATAAAAACTCAATAAAGTTTTGAGGTAATGTATTTGTATACTCAGAGATGATCTCATTTAATCCCCAAACCTCTGTAGGTAGGTACTCCTATTAAGTTCATTTAACAATTGAGAAAATTGGGTGCCTGGGTGGCTCAGTTGGTTAAGCGACTGCTTTCGGCTCAGGTCATGATCCTGGAGTCCCTGGATCGAGTCCCGCATCGGGCTCCCTGCTCTGCAGGGAGCCTGCTTCTCTCTCTGACCCTCCCCCCTCTCATGTGCTCTCTCTCTCTCATTCTCTCTGTCTCAAATAAATAAATAAAATCTCTAAAAAACAAAAAACAATTGAGAAACTGAAGTACATAGTCACTATACCCAGCATGGTAAAAATTTTTATTTAAAAAACACGCAAACAATGAATCATGGAACACTACATCAAAAACTAATGAAGTACTATATGGTGACTAACATAACTAACTAAACAAACAAACAAATTAATTAAATAAAGCAAACTAGCCCAGTCCCTTGATGGAATTCAACCAAACACCTGCACAGGGTTTCCTATTATTGTTGAGAAAACAGATTTTTTTTTTTTTAAGATTTTATTTATTTATTTGACAGAGAGCGAGAGAGCACAAGCAGAGGGAGTAGTAGAAGGAGAGGGAGAAGCAGACTCCCTGCTGAGCAGGGAGCCTGATGCAGGGCTCAATCCCAGCTCAATCTCAATCCCTGAGATCATGACCTGAGCCAAAGGCAGATGCTTAACCATTTGAGCCACCCAGGTGCCCTGAAAACAAATCTTTTTCAATGGAAGAGGTGCTATTTAAGTTATGGAATAGCAACACTCTCTCCCTTCCTATTAAAAGTGCCATTTCCTTCAAGGCACTATCCTAGGCTGTTGATAATATAAAAACAACCAAGAGATTTCTCTACCTTCCAATAATTTTCAATCTAGTAACATATATGCAAACAAAAGTCCAATCAGAACACCACATGGAATATAATAACTGCCTTAAGAGATACAGATGTCAAAAAATGTATAATAAAGTCTTTAGAATATGTTTGTATACGTGTGTGTGATATTAGAGAGAGACATCCAGGAAAGGGCACATTGGGGAATCTTTTTCAAAAACACCTGGAAGCTTTCCAATTTTCCCATTCAGATCCTGTTTCCTACTCCATACCAAGAATCAATCCTCAGCTCTCAGTATATGGCCAAAGTGATGCACATCACTCAAAGGAAGTGTTAGGTTTAATATAGAAGAAGATTTTCCTGCAGGGGTGCCTGGGTGGCTCATTTGGTTAAGCGTCTGTCTTCAGCTCAGATCATGATCCCAGGGTCCTGGGATCGAGCCCTGTGTAGGGCTCCCTGCTCAGCAGGGAGTCTGCTTCACCTCTCCCTCTGCCCCTCCCCCCCTCATGCTCTCGCTCTCAAGAAATAAAATCTTTAAAAAATAAAAAAAGATTTTCCTGCATATTAAGTAAAATAAAGGTGTTATAATTATGCAGATGTAAATGATTGCAAGTGCAAAGTGTTTACAATTGAAAATACTCAAAGGGAAGAACTACTATAGTTCGTTTAAGGTTGATATTCTTTTGCCCTTTTTTGGTAGCTCCAACCCCCATTTCCACTTGATCTTGGCCTCTTTCAAGACATCTTTGCTCTGTAATATTTTAACATTGGTCTAATAGCTTCAAATAAAATGCAACAATAGTATACAAAACTGAGATTAAAATGCAAAATATTATTTAACAAAGTCCCAATGACTCTTGGGGCATAGAGCTGTCTGGAAACTACACAAAAATTCAAGAATGAGTAGACTGTACTTGACTTGACCATTTCATTGCCATCCTAAATTTTATTTGGTAGTTATATTTCAACTAAGGAGTGGTTTTTAAATTATTTGCTTTTGAGGCACTTAGGTGGCTCAGTCAGTTGAGCGTCCAACTCTTGATTTTGGCTCAGGTTATGATCTCAGGGTTGTGAGACTGAGCCCTGTGTTTTGCTCCGTGCTCAGCAGGGAGTCTGCTCGAGACTCTCTTGCTCTGCCTCTCCCCCCACTCACATGTGCACACTCTCTAAAATAAATAAATCCTTAAAAAAATTATTTGCCATCAACTTCTGTTAATAGAATCAGAGTAAAGTGGTCAAGCAAACCCTCCTGCAGAGAACAATTATAATGTGTGTGTTGAAAAAAAAGTATTTAAACACAGGAAAATGTCTAAAACAGTCAGAAGGTGGAGGAGAGTTTATCCTTGGAAAGCTGAAACTGAAAGAATTAAAAATTTTAAGTCTGTGGGTTTTTTTGAGAATCAACAAACTATACAGGTGCTGGATAGGCTAGTTAGAGGCCAGACTAAAGAAAAGTAGCAGCTAGAGAAAAAGAAAAGCAGCAGCTAGAAGCTGTAAGAACTGGACAGAGATTATCACCTGCTGCACATCATGGAGTGACAGTTTGCAGTTTGAGTCTAGGCAAGCTAACTGCCTACTAGGAAAAAAACTCAATAATCCCTGGAAGAACACAACAGAATCAGAGCCTTACTTCAAAATATATCTACAATATATGTGTTTCAACCT